GTCATGGGTTCATCAGTTCCAGCCCTGTCGGCCTTGAATGGCCCGACCTATGTTACAGCCCAGACACTCATCCAGCAAGTCGCATACTTGTTGAGTGACAAGATCTTCTCCTACTCGCCGGAGACTTTCGATCTTGATGCTGCCCTCAAGGAATGGACCTCCAAGGGTGAGACTAATGCCAATGGCGAGTCACCCTCTGTCAAGGCTCTGGAAACCCGCCAAGGTGCCGGCAACATGGCCCTTGGCTACCTCTTCTCTCAGGACTTCGATCTGAAGAAGCGCCACATTCCCCAGGGTATTGTTGCTTCTTCAGCAACCCTCCCTTATATGCGCGCCGCATTGGAGCAACTCTCTCTGCTCTACTCCGTCGCTAGCCCAGTCGCTGCACACGTCGCTGCTGTGGACTACGCCGGCGAGGATGGCCTAGTCTCCGACTATGCCTCTGCCCTCTCTCTGGCCGAGGACCTCGGTCTGGGTCTGGTCTCCAGCGGTTCCGCCCACGAGTCCCAGCACATGGCTCTCTTCACCACATTGCTCTCCTCAGTCCTCCCCTCGATTCACATCTACGATGGTGTTCGTGTTGGTCGTGATACCACCCGCATCATTGATGTTCTCGATAAGGATGGTCTGACTCGCACCTATGAGACTGTCCGCAAGTCTCTTGATGAGTCCCGCAACCGTCACCTCGATGCCCAAGGCAAGGTTCTAGATCTGCTGAAGACCCTGAACGGCGAACTCGGAACCGACTATGGTGCTTTCGAGTACCACGGTCACTCCGAGCCTACCTCTGTGCTGATTGCCTTCGGCACCGTCGAGGCTGCTCTCACTGCCCAAATCGCACGCTCTCTTGCAAAGGATGGTGTCCGTGTCGGTGTTGTGAATGTCCGCGTCTACCGCCCCTTCATCGAGGAGGAGTTCCTGCGCGTTCTCCCCCAGTCCACTAAGACTGTTGCAGTTCTTGGACAGGTCGCCTCTGAGCAGGCTGTTCAGGAAGAGGGTATCCACTCTGCTCTCTATGAAGATGTCCTTGCTTCTTTGACTTTCGCCACTGGCCGTGAACACAACCCGGGTTGTGTTGAGATCAAGTACCCCCGCTCCCAGCGTTGGGACCTCATCTCTACTGCCGCTGCATTCCAGCGCGTGTATGACCAGCCTATTCTCACCGTCGATGGTGAAACCAATGCTTCGCTGCAGTTGCTTGACCCTGCTTCCGTGCAGGAATACACTTTCTGGGATGTTGACACCTCCGTTACCGAGGCCGCTGCTCAGACTTTGAGCCAGGCTCTTGGCGCCGACTCGGCTAGCAACGTCACCCTCAGCCAGACTCACGACAACCTCGTCCAGGGCGGTGCCATCCGTGTTGACATCCGCAAGAGCGCTAAGATTGTTGACGCACCTTACGCTGTCACTGCTGCTGAGGTCTCTTACGTTGGTAACATTTCACTGCTGAACGACGTTGATGTTCTGGCTTCCGTCAAGGACAACGCCAAGGTCATTGTGAATGCACCTGGCGTTAAGGATGAGGATTTGGAGAAGAAGCTTCCTGCTACCTTCAAGCAGGCTGTCGCCCAGCGTGGCATCTCCGTCTTCGTCGTAGACTCATCTGCCATTGAGGACTCATCTCTGAGCGCTCTTGTCCTCCAGGCTTCGTTCGTGCGTGTCGCTCTGCCTGCTCAGGAGGCTCTGGCAACCAAGAAGCTGTCCTCGATTACCGGAAATGCCGAGGCCCTGGACAATGTTACCAAGGATCTCGAGAAGGTGCTTCGCCAGATCGAGGTTCCCGAGTCTTGGAAGGAGCCCGAGGGCGTCAGTGAGGCCGTTCAGCTCCCCAAGGACATCATCGTCAACAGCTTTGTCTCCTTTGACAAGAACGAGTCCGAGCCCCCCACTCTTCTCAAGGACTGGGAGACTGCTGCTCGTGGCCTTGCGTTCAAGGAGGCTTATGGCACCAGGGATGCCCTTCGCCCTGACCTTGCTCACAAGACTTTCACTGTCCACGTCAAGGAGAACCGACGTCTCACCCCTCCCACCTATGATCGTAACATCTTCCACATCGAGTTCGACATCGGTGAGACTGGTCTGAAGTACGACATTGGCGAGGCCCTCGGTATTCACGCCGAGAACGACCCCGAGGACATTAAGAAGTTCATCGAGTTCTACGGTCTGGACGCCGACGCAATTGTCGAGGTTCCTAGCCGCGAGGACCCTGCCGTTTTGGAGAACCGCACCGTCTACCAGGCTCTGGTCCAGAACGTCGACATCTTCGGTCGCCCTCCCAAGCGCTTCTACGAGGCCCTTGCCGAGTTTGCCTCCGATGAGAAGGAAAAGGCCAACCTGCTCATCCTGGGTGGTCCCGACGGTGCCACCGAGTTCAAGCGCCGCGCCGAGGTTGACACCGTCACCTTCGCCGACATCCTGCTCGAGTACCCCTCTGCCCACCCCGACTTCCACGAGATCGTCCGCATCATCGGCCCCCTCAAGCGCCGTGAGTACTCGATCGCCTCGTGCCAGAAGGTGACCCCTACCTCAGTTGCCTTGATGATCGTCGCCGTGAACTGGGTCGACCCCAACGGTCGCGACCGTTTCGGCCTGGCTACCCGCTTCCTGAGCCGCCTGCAAGTCGGCTCCCCGATCACCGTCAGCGTCAAGTCCAGCGTCATGAAGTTGCCCCCCAAGTCCACCCAGCCTCTTATCATGGCCGGTCTTGGTACTGGTCTCGCACCATTCCGTGCCTTCGTCCAGCACCGCGCCCTCGAGAAGGCTCAGGGCAAGGAGATCGGCGCTGTCTTGCTGTACATGGGCTCCCGCCACCAGCGCGAGGAGTACTGCTACGGCGAGGAATGGGAAGCTTACCAGGAGGCTGGTGTCATCACTCTCCTCGGCGCTGCTTTCTCTCGTGATCAGCCCGAGAAGATCTATATCCAGGACCGTATGCGCCAGACCCTGCCCGAGATCATCCAGGCCTACATTCGTGAGGAGGGTGCTTTCTACCTGTGCGGTCCCACTTGGCCCGTGCCCGATGTCACCGCTGTTCTGGAGGAGGCTATTGCCACCGAAGCTAAGAACAACGGCAAGAAGGTTGACACTCGCAAGGAGATTGAGAAGCTGAAGGACGAGGAGCGTTACGTTCTGGAGGTCTACTAGACGCTGTTGCTTCGTTGTCGCATGACATGATTGCATGATTGACATATTTTTGGTTTTATTCCCCCTCATTGTATTTAGATCCTGATTTGGGCTAGCGCACTAGCCTTGAGAGACTTCAAAAATGCATCTAGAATTTCATGGTTTTTAATCATATCTCCCTTAAATTTAGATCCCTCGGTGGTTAAAATATATGTAATTTAACGGAATGTACTTGGGTATCGGCTTTGAAGACAATGCCATTCATAGGAACACCATCCAAAATGCTATGTCGTGTCTAGGTCGTCTATACATACATCTTTTTCTTGAAACTCATGCAACGTAACAATCAAATATGACCACTCACTTGGGTCTATTTGAGCCCATACTTGGTCTTTCCATATGCACCACCCTTTTCCTTCCTCAACTCCAATGCCCGACGATAAGGTGGTGCAGTAGGTGGCTGGATAGGATCCAGATTAACATAATCCGGAGGTAAAGTATATGTCGCATCGGAATCCCAAGCGGAAAGATCACCACAAGCAATGAACGACGGAATCCACCGGTTCTCAACTGCGAACTTGTTCGACAGTTTCTGCGGTTGGGGCCGGTCTTGTGATGTTGTGGTTTGAAGATGACGGACTTCAGTGGAGTAATTGGGCGTGGGATTGCTAACCGTTGCGGGTTGTGACAAGGTATTTCGGGATTCCGTGTCCTGGTCGATTTCCTCGCGGACTTCCACGCCCACATTGCCATCTTCTGACACGGCTACTGGAGCTACGGCTCCGCCGAAGAGTGGATTTTTCAATGCGGCCATACCAACGACTCCGCTGTCACTGACAGGTGGAATGAAGCCTTCGCAAACCACAAATGCCTCTAAGCTACTAGCGCGACTACTGCGTGGCTTCGCGACGCTGACGCGCTCGAAGACGGTCCGCAGTTGCGCGTAGAGAATATCGACATCGCGGCCACGGAAGATCTTGGCGACGAACTTGCCGCCTGGTCGGAGAACCCCCATTGCAAGGTTTAGGGCTGCGTATAGGAGTTGTGATTGAATATAGATATCTAGGTCGTGCAGACCTGTTACATCTGGGGCACCGTCGGAGATGACCAGGTCGACGGGGTGAGGTTGTCTGATAGCCTCTGTGACTTGTGATGTAGCGTCGGAGGATGTGGATGGTTGTTCGTATGCTTCTGGGTCCAGAGCGCGCAAGAGGAGAGGGATCGTAGAGGGGTGTGTGATATCAGCCTTGAGTGTTGTGATACCTTCGAGCGGTGCCATGGGTTGCAGATCGATGGATACGATCTTGACATTCTTTCGGGGCTTTAATTCCGAGCTTGAGGAAGGCTCATCGCAGTCCATTTTATCTTCATCGACCGTCGTTGTCTCTGCGCCCTCCAATCCCTGTTGTTCTGTCCGCTTTTTCTCGAGCCATGCTCGCCGCCCAAAGCTTTCGCCCTTGATCAAGACACGGCTGAGCACTTGACTCCAGCTTCCAGGTGCAGCGCACAAATCCACGACTCTTGTCACGTTGTCCGGGTTCTCGTGCTCGAATAGGTCGAATCGCTCGTCGATCTGGATAAGCTTGAAGGCGGAACGGGCGCGCCAATTTTGCTCCTTGGCGAGACGGTAATAAGCATCGCGCTTGTCCTTGGATGATTTGCCCATCTTGAAAAACAGGCTGCTCAGGCGCAATTGGCAGTCCTAGTTTGTCAAAGTGGGTTAATTTTGCGGCGAACGTGGGGAACGAAAAGATAAGATTCCAAAGGCGGACCAAATTTTCTGCCGCTTTTTTTCTTTGCGAATCTTCCCCGACGGTGTACTTGGATCACTTGTCTACCGGAACACACAGTAATACTCAAGAATTACTCCGTTCATAATGGGTCAAAAGCGAGCACGCGATCCCAAAGCCCAGGTGGCTGAGGCAAACAAACGCAAGAAGGCAGTCAAGTCCGACGCAGCTACAAACGACGATTATGGCACTCTTGGAGTTGAGGACCTCAACTGGAAGGAAGTTGCTATGCCAGATCGCATGGAGGATGCAGAGGGTTTCTTTGGACTGGAAGAGATTGAGGGTGTGGATATCATTAAACAGAGTGACGGAGGTGTTCATTTCAAGGTATGAGGCTGCATGCTTTGATCGATCATGTTGACTAAACGCTAATACATCTGGTTGGATGGGTAGGCCAAGTCTGGCAAGCCAACAAAATCGATTATCAAACCCCCGTCTGAAGATGACGGAGAGGAATGGGGTGGTTTTAGCGACGAGGACTCGTCCAAAAAGTCTACTACCACCGAGAAGGCTCCTGCTGCAACCGAAGTGAAGGAAGTGAAGGAAGATAAGAAGTCGAAGAAGGACAAGAAGAAGGAGCAAAACAAAGCCAAGAAAGAAGAGCAAAAGTCCAAGGAACAAAAGCCTAAGGAGCAAAAGTCCAAGGAGTCCAAACCTGCTCAAAACCAGAACATCAAGGCCGGGCTCTCATTCGCGGCTCTCGATGATGTCGAGGAGGATGACGGCGTGGACGTGTCGGCTTGGGATGGGCTTAATCTTTCGCCCGAGACCTTTACGGCTCTTTCTAAAATGAAGTTCAGCTCCCCATCGGCCATTCAAAAGGCCAGTATTCCTGCCATTCTCGATGGCCACGATGTTGTTGGAAAGGCCTCCACAGGTTCCGGTAAAACATTGGCATTCGGTATTCCGATTATTGAGCATTACTTGGACAAGAGAGGGAAACACGGAGAACAGTCTGACGAGTCTGAAAAGAACAAATCCCCGATTGCATTGATTCTTTCTCCCACTCGAGAACTAGCGCATCAGCTTGGAAAGCACATTGGAGAGCTCATTGCCAATTCCCCTGATACCAACGCACGAATCGCTCTTGTGACCGGTGGTATGTCTATTCAGAAGCAGCAGAGACAGCTTGCAACGGCGGATATTGTTGTTGGAACCCCTGGACGTGTGTGGGAGATTCTGAGCACGGGAACGGGATTGATCCGCAAAATGCAAAAAATCCAGTTCCTGGTCGTCGATGAGGCGGACAGACTGCTGAGTGAAGGGCATTTCAAGGAGGTCGAGGATATCCTTAATGCACTAGACAAACACCAGGCCGGAGATATTGCAGACGCAGAACAGGAAGAGGAGGAGGAGGAGGCGCCATCTCACAGGCAGACTCTTGTCTTCTCGGCCACATTCCACAAGGATCTTCAACAAAAGCTAGCAGGCAAAAGCCGCTGGTCAAGTGGTGATATGTTGGACAACAAAGCTTCTATGGAGTACCTTCTCAAGAAACTGAATTTCCGCGAAGAGAAGCCCAAGTTCATCGATGTGAACCCGGAGTCACAGATGGCGATCGGACTCAAGGAAGGAATCGTTGAATGCCCTGCTATGGAAAAGGTAAGACACTCTCCTCGCGCCGCTCGAATACCGATACTAATTTAAATGATCAGGACCTCTATCTCTACTCAGTGCTTCTCTACTATCCCAAGAACCGCACAATTGTGTTCACAAACTCCATCTCCGCTGTCCGCCGCATTACTCAGCTTTTGCAAGCTCTTCAACTTCCTGTGTTCGCACTCCACTCAAACATGGCCCAGAAAGCCCGACTCCGTTCCATCGAACGTTTCTCATCTCCTACTGCCAACCCAAGCTCAATTCTTGTCGCCACTGACGTCGCCGCTCGTGGTTTGGATATCAAGGGCATTAATTGCGTCATCCACTACCACGTTCCCCGCACAGCAGACGCCTACGTTCACCGATCCGGTCGTACTGCCCGTGCCGGTGAGTCCGGAAAGAGTATCCTCATCTGTGCTCCTGACGAGGTTGTCGGTGTTGCCCGTCTCGCTGGCAAGATCCATGCCAAGAAGGCGAAGAAGGCCGATGACCCCGAGGGACCTAGCAAGAAGGTTCCTCTCGAGTCTCTCGACATTGATCGCCGAGTGGTTTCTCGCCTCCGCCCCCGCATGGCTCTCGCCAAGCGAATTACCGACTCCACTATCGCTAAGGAGAAGGTCAACACCGAGGACAACTGGCTCCGCGCTGCGGCCGACGATCTCGGTGTTGAGTATGACAGTGACGAGTTCGATCAGTCTAAGGGTAGAGGCCGTGGTCGCGGTGGTGGCCGCGAAAGACGTGACAAGGAGGCTAGCGAATTGAGCAAGAGCGAGATGGCCGGGCTTCGTGCGGAGCTCAAGCAACACCTTTCCCACCGAGTGAACATCGGTGTCAGTGAGAAGTATCTTACAGCCGGTCGCATTGACATCGATGCTCTCCTTCGTGGTGAGGGCAACGACGCGTTCCTGGGCCACCTTGACCCTCTGACTTTCTAATTTTGAATTTACTGAAGCATTGGGTTTGTAAAAATCATAGCATCACTATTTAGTCTATACCAAAACTACTCTGCATATGTTCTTGACTCCTTAATCCTTTAAAAGTGGACAGCCCAACGTTATCGGACTTCTCCGATATCAGACAGATAACATATCAGTGACAAAGAATACCCCAACACCCTGAGCAGGATAGTCTATGACATTCAACACACTTTACCTAAAGGTAACTAGTTTACTCGGCATATATGCAGCTATTTACATAAGTGCATATGTTCCCCCGCCTTCCTAGCTCCGAGTGATAAAACGCACTTCCTTCCAAGGTTCCAAGGTTGATCCCAGACTCACCTCTCCCATTCTCTCAATCAACATGGATCCCCAAATTGAAGAACTATTAGGCCTAGAAGCCGTCCGTACAAGAGCCCATATTGTCCTCAAACTAGCCGAGGAGGGTCGTTTGAATCATTTCAATTACCACCCTGAACGCATGGAAGATGCCACCGACTACGTACTTAAACTAATTCAGGTAGGGCTATGGCATCCCCAGAGCGAATACTTAACAGTTCGAAGTATAAAAAGGCTCACTCTCTATCATAGCGCGATTTCGGCCCTGACAAGTATCACCTAATTCCGCCCCATGGACGCTGGCAGCATTTCGAAGTCGGCGGGGTTCCCCGCATAGCCACTCTCCTAGATCAATGGGATGAGGAGAAATGTGACACCACCGAAAAGACACGGAGATTGATAGATCTTTTCTTCGTCTCCGTCCTTTTAGATGCTGGCGCCGGAGACTTTTGGAAATTCAACGAGTCACAAAGCGGTCTGACGCTCAATCGAAGCGAGGGTATTGCAGTGGCGGCCCTGCACATGTTCCTAAACGGCGACTTTGCTGGCAAGGATTCGTCGGTGAAACACACCGCTAATGGTAGGCGTTTGCGCTCTTATATTAAGTGCGATATTTGCTGACTCGACCCAGGCGATGCATTGCGCAATATCAATGTAGACATCTTATCGCGTGGACTCCAGGCCGACGATGGCAATCCCATGATCGGAGTAGCTGCACGCGCAGATATTCTCCGTAAGCTTGGCGAATCTTTGGTGAATCTGAAAGATATCTTTGGTCCCTCTGGTCGCCCTGGTAATCTTGTTGGTAAGTTCATATCGCCCATGAAATCCAGTTAGTCCTGGACTTGTTTATTATCAAAGTGACTAAACAGTTCCCAAAACATCTAGACTACCTCATTGCCAAGTCCAATGAGAGCGGCAAGCTCGACTACCGGGATCTTTGGAACGTGCTACAGCGCCTCCTGATTCCCATCTGGCCATCTGATCGTACTCATGTTAACGGACAGCCCATCGGCGATGCGTGGCCTCTACAAGCACTTTTGCAGCAGCCTGGATCGGAGTCGAAACCCTACTCCAACATCCAACCATTCCATAAGTTGACCCAATGGCTAGGGTACTCATTGATGGTACCATTTTCTCGTCTGCTCTCAGTCTCATGGTCCAATACCGAGCTAGGAACTGGTCTGCCGGAGTACCGCAACGGAGGAATGCTTGTCGACATGGGAGTTCTAGAATTGAAGCCCGAGTCACTGCAGCGAGGGTTGAGTCTTTCGGGTGGTAGCCTGCCTTCGTTCGGTGCGGGCGATGACGAAATTGTGGAATGGCGAGCGATGACTGTTGCGCTCCTCGATGTGCTGCACACGAAGATTCTCGCTCGTCTGGATGGTGTCCAATTGTCTCTACCGCAGGTGTTGGAGGCGGGCTCTTGGAAAGCGGGTCGTGAGCTTGCAGCGGCTAAACGTCCAGAGACAAAGTGTAGTCCTATCTTGAACTTTGGTGATGGTACTTTGTTCTAGAAGCCGTATTGTTAGTATTGAATGCATGAACAGCCTCTTCAAATAGATCTGTTCAATATACTTGAGCTTTTCAACCCCCGGAATAGGTTGTAGACTCGATAAAATATGGCTCCAGGTTCTTCAGCTTATACTGTAGATCGGATCATCGACCTCCGATTCATATTCGCTTTGCATAGAAACCTTTACTATGAGAGCCGTTGATCATTCACTCCTAGTAGAGTGGAAGTATCATGAATCCTTCTGTCTGCAGGGAGTCCATGGAATCCAAACCCCTAGAGGCAGCTGTATCGTCGTCATCAGTCAGCGTCATTAGCTACCGTTTACATGAGTTCGGTTAGGGCATCCGGGTAAGTTCCAAAATGTTGGCTTGCAGCCCGCGCGTTCGAGCGCGCGCAGCACCGGATCGTATTGTATCGTATCGTACCGTCGTATTGTCGAGGTAATAGATCAGGCAATGAGAGCTCTCAACTCTGCTCTTCGTGCTTTGAGCGCACCAACACTCTTGTCAGCTACTTCCAGCCTTGGTGTGCCTTTCCGGTGTCATAAGTGTGTCTGATGTGGGAGTTGAAATGAAAATGATATTCACCAATGCTCACTTCAACTCAAAACAAACGTGCGCAACACAAAACAAAACATACTCATCACAATGGGACCAGTACATGAGCGGCTGCCCCTGGCCTGGGTGACAATCGCACTGGGCAAGCCCAACGCAACGTCATACCCCGGGCCGGAGTGAAACAGCAAACGCCCACGTCCCCGATCCAAATCATACATCGTCAGCCTCCCCGGCCAACTCAAAGAAGCAGCACCCCCAATCTCCTCCCCTCCCCTCCTCCCCTCCTCCCCTCTCCCCTTCGTCATAGCATTTGTGCCCCACCACGCTTAAGATCAGCCGTGGTGGGGCACCGCAAGGTGGAGGAACCCGACGAGGAAGCCACCGCCACTCTCCTCAACGGCACCTAGATGACAAGAAAATGAGTTAGCAATGAAGCCGATGTGAGTTGAAAGTGATAATAGACTGAAGTGAAGCTGACTGGGAACTAGGAGAAAAGAGAATGTAATACATACCTTGCACTCAGATTAAGCATTTATCTGCTTACGCCTCATCCAGGTAGGCGTCCTCGTCGCCGTCGCTGAATTCGGCAGCATCCTCCTCCTCTCTCTCCGCCAGGATGGAGTCCAGGGCGGCGTCCAGGCTCTGCCAGAGGCCGTAGGGGTCCTCTTCATCGGAGTCCCCACCCCTCCCATGGGAGTGACCATTGGTCAATCCCCCATTGGGGGTCCGGGGGGCATCATCGTCGGCGGGGGCGGGGCGGAAAGGGTTGCTGGTGGTCTGGGAGGGAATGCCCCCACCAGAGCCGAAATGGTTGTTGATGGTCGAGGGGCGATTGCTCCGACCAGAAGCAAAAGGATTATAGGGCTGGGGGGGATTGGCCCAGCCAGGATGGAAAGGGTTGGTGACAGTCTGGGGGACGTTACCCACGCCAGAACGGAACGGATTGGTGGCGGTCTGGGTGGTGCTGTTCCCTCCAGAACCGAATGGGTTGGTGGCGGTCTGGGGGATATTGCCCGCGCCAGAACCGAACGAGTTGGTGATTGTCTGGGTGGCATTGACCACGCCAGAGCCGAATTGGTTGTTCACGGTCTGGGTGGCATTAACCACACCAGAACCGGAGGGGCTGATGATGGTCTGGGTGACATTCACGACACCACAGCCAAACTGGTTGTTCACAGTCTGGGAGGCATTGACGACCCCAGAACTGAACGGGTTGGTAGTGGTCTCGGGGGCAGAGGCCCCGCGAGAAGAAGAAAAGTCAGTTGCATCAGACATTCTGAAGATACGATGAGAAATAACAGTTCAGAAAGCTAATGGAAGAGAGCAGATGATACCAGATGGATGGCAGTGTGATGGGGAACGAGAAGGGGGACGACGAGAGTGAGAGCCGTTCCATGAGAGCACAACAGTCAACGCGCGCTGCGTTCACCTCCCAACGAGGAAGGACCCCCATTCAAAACCACCATATTATACGAATACGCTATACGACGACCTTTTATCTTCAGCTCTCCGTCATTGTACGTTGAGAACTGAAGATATATTGATATAGATCTACGGCATTTTATAGTTCTCGGCATCCCGAACTATATCTCTTGGCATCCCGGTCCGATCATCGGCTGTTCCAAGGCTTTGAGCCCCACTGTTGGGTCCAACAGGAGAAAAATCGGCTCTAAAAAACAGAGAAAAAGAGAAACAGGACCAATCTGGATTGTGGCGGGTCTCTTGTCTAAATTGGACAATCTTTTTACATCTATCGTCATCGCAAAAAAAAAGTCCAAGTGTGGTATACTTCATATATCACCTAGCCCTACTCCAATCAACCGCCCTTGAAAGATCGACAAAGTCAATAAGACCCGAATAATCCGACCCTGGTCTGCAGTATGTACCCCGGTCGGCGATCAAACAAGCCCCTCTAACATGCATAACTAGAGTTGATATCGGCTTCCTACTTCCCAGAATGTCAACCATTTCACAAAGCGCGCGTCGGCTTTTCCGATCGCAAAACCTTTCGGCATTCAAAACATACTCGCCCGCAGCGCCTATTGCGCGTCTTCACCAACAAGGCCCAACACGGTCGGCAGTGGTTCACAACCAAGCACTCCCTAGCCAAACAGAATCACCCCCATTCCTTTCTCAAACTCAGTCACAATCACCACCTGTGGCTCAATCACCGCACCGTGAATCTATAACCCTTGAAACCCTCGTTTCCCAAATCCCTCTCGTTCAAACCCTTCGCGAAACCCACAGCACCTACAAGGAAACACGTCCCCATCTCGCAATCCCAGCACCCATCCGACAGCATCACTTCGTGGGCGGGAGCTTGGCCGGTCCAGGCAAGCTTGCTTTCGCACCTTACATGTGGTTATCGACCGACAAGATCGAAGCACAAACCGAGAACGCCGACCGAGCCAGCAGCGTTGTATCAGTATTCCACATCGGTCAAGACCTATGTGGTCACCCTGGATTTGTTCACGGTGGTCTGCTCACTGTTCTCTTCGATGAGGTGTTTGCGCGCTGCGCTTCTGCTGTTTTACCCAGCGGGCTGGGTATGACGGCTAATCTCAATGTGGATTTCCGAAAACCGGCTCTTCCCGACCGGATGTATGTGCTGCGCACTAAGACGGTTAAGGTTGAGGGTCGGAAATCTTGGGTTGAGGGTCGGATGACTTATCTTCCTTTGACTCTCCCACTTCCTGCGGACTCCACTGGCATTGTTTCTGATCCTAGTCTGCTACGGGAGGATAGTGAACGTGCGGTAATGGTTGCTGAGGCTAAGGCTTTGTTTATTGAGCCTAAATTTGCGGATGTGAGTTATCCCTTTGTTCTATCTGCATGTAGTGCGCCTTGCTAACAGTTTTCACAGTCCATGGTGAAGATTTATTCGAACTAGTGTGTCTGTGTGTGAAGAATCGGTTATTCCCCTGCGTTGTATAGAGTTATAGAGTATACAGTTATAGAGTATACGATTGATAGATATTAGAATGATAGATTTACAAATTTACTAATTTGACCATGATTCTTGAAGGCCATTAACTACCTACAAAATGAAGTATATATGTGGCGGATAATCCCTCCAGGGCTAGCTCTCGAGATCTTTCCCTTTCCGTTTTAATGCCTACCTGCAGCTTTTTGTTCACTGAGTACCCTGATTGGCTCACTGAGTGTAGGGGTGAGCGGCCTAAGTAAGCTACATCAATCAAATACAACACGCCAATCCTATCATATATAACCCTTCCTCTTTAGATCGTCCCATAAAAAAAAATGGACTGGCCTTCATCCTAGCGGTCTCGATCCCTTTCAAGTAAAAAAAATCATAGCGGTAGAAACGGGAAATATTATTTCAACAGAAGCTAAGAGCCGAATAGTACATATAGCATCAGGTAAAATGAGCAGAAGAGTTCATAAACTACTTGAAGATAACAAGGGAGGTAGTACTAGATCAGCATCAGCAGTAATGACCCCCCTTCCTATAAACTCAAACATTATCATCCTTTCAGCCCACATGGAAAGTAGATGCCCATCATCACCAATCTCACTGACCCAACCGCTTTAGGCATTATTTAAAGGCTGCTCATAGATTTCGCCATCCACGGTTGTGGTAAGTGTGCCATTTGCGTTGAAAATGTTCGTCATCACGTCCAGCTCCAGGTGGAAACCATCAGGACTAGTTTTTTTAGTAGCAAGGTACCCATCTTTACCTGTCCGCACCAGGTCCGAGTACCAGTCAACGTGATTTAGAGTAGGTGACAGAGAAATAGAAGTAACATTCTCCCAACCATTGAGGAAGTTTATTCCATCATCCGAGTAATCATGGTAGATCACCGCAACAGTGCCAATGGAAGCGGAACCAGTTCCTGTTCCATTGACGAGGCTCACGTCAGCATGGCCCGAAACCTCGCCTTTGAGTGTATACTCGCCCGCGGGGGGACCCTCAGAGCTCCGTGGGATACTTCCTGGAACGTAGGGCTCACCCCACGGGATCACATCAGACGCTTCTTCCGCGGGTGAGATAATTTTAGGAGTTCGGCTTGTAAGCTTGGCCAGCATTAGACGGTATGTCCTGCCTCCAGGTGCGGTGGATGGGTAGCATGGCAGGGGATTGTTTCCACCACATTGAGGGGAGATGGTTTGTGCCTGCCAGTATACAATTTCAGTCATATTAGGACTCCATCTGGGCTCGGCCATTGCGTTCCATTCAGGATCGTTGACATCGCCGCTGCCTGGAATGCCCCGGCCAGGTCCATTGAGTTTCTGGCCAAAGTAGTCACCACGATCACCATCGCGGTCAAGGAGGAAGGGCTGGAAGAAGCGCCGAGCACCGTTGTTGCGCGTTGCTGTAGTCACGCTGGTACTCACTAAATCCGTGAGGGGTGGAAGACCGCGCATGCCGGCCAAGAACATCTGACGGCCAGAGCCGCGCGTGTCCTCGATGACAAACCACTCGTCATCGGGCGAGACATGGATAGGGTCGACATACTCCGGGTGATTGGTCAGGCGGCGGATCTTTCCGGTCTGCAGGTGAACGGCAAAGACGTCAATGTTGGAAGACTCCCAGGGAGTACCGAGGTAGATGGCCTCGTGTCCCCTGCCGGAGAATCCGCGTAGCTCACCGACAGTGATGGCGTCAAAGTTTACGTGGATCTCGTCGCCATCGACTGAGAGGGGCTGCACTCCATTGGCGTCAACCAGGCGAGTCACGTTGACGAGGTCGTAGCGGGGGACTAAAGGCAGGCCTTTCGTGGGTGAAGGGTTGAACTGGAGCCGGGAAAAGTAGGCATATTGTCCCATACTTCCGTTGTTGCTATAGAAGGAGCTGAAGCCGAGGTGGACACTGTCGGGATGGAGACGGAGCTCGCGGAGAGCGCCGCCCTTGCCTTCGCCATCCGCAGATGTTTCCCAGTGAATGGGATACATGAAGGTAGCGTCAGGGGTGCACTCGGGGCTAGTGAGTTTGTATTCACCGCAGTCGATGATATTGTCACCAGCGAGGATACGCTTGCCGTCGCTAAACGCCTGCGGGTAGTCGAGAAGGTCCGTGATATTGACGGCATTGGCGGCGGGAATACCGCAAGTGAGGCATTTCCAGGCATCACCGTTAAGGAACGTTGAGTTATCCGTCTTAACGAGAATAATCTGCTCCCCGGTGTAGATGCTTGCAGCTTCAGGGGCTTCCGGGGCTCCCACGAAGGTGACCATGGTGATGATGTGCTTACCATCGGGGAGGAAGTCGCCCTGTGCTAGGATTCCGATGGTCTTGGTGTCAGAGCCACCGCCTATCTGGGCTATGCAGCCGGTACCATGTGGGTTGATGATGGAGCTACACGAACCCGGAGCGGAGTTGCTCGAGACGGGAGGTAGAGGCAGCTCGACAACCTCAATGGGCTCAGGCTCCGGGGGGGGGCCGGTACATGTTTCAAAGGTGAGGCAATGACTGCAGCCACCAATATAGTACCGATTGGGAAAAGTGGGATCATTCGGGCTATGTAATCGAGAACAGAATGAGCAAAACCAGGAGAAGGCGCTGTAGCGAGGACAAACAAAGACCCAGGCATCATGATCATTTTATAGACGAGCTATCCAGCTCTGTTCACCACATATTTTGAGCCATTTTGCCTCGGCTTGTCTTGTAATAGTGTTTAATCTCTGATTTAGGTCCTAAGGTTGCTATCCCTGTCCATTAGGAACCTTGGAAGGCATGAGATCGTGCGGAGACCCCACGCGGGGAAATCAGGTCCACGTGTTATTTAGGCTATAGGCTACTTACCGGTGCTAAATTACCTAGACAGGTCTGCTCTAATGGCTAACCATGAAACAGTTATGGGCTTCAAACCTACACATCAGTGTAGACATTGGAAATTGGAAATGTCAAAATCGTCAATCTTCCGAGACTTTAGGTTAGCTAGATCGCCCCTTCGTTCCGTGGCCTTTAACTTCCGCGGAGATTTCCATTGGTTAGAACTCCCGGCGAAAAGAAAACCCCCATCTATCCCAAAGGCCTGACTTGTCTATGCTTGGAGTTCAGCCGCTAGAATGGCATCGAGAATGATTCTAACAGTAGAATGGATGAGGCAGTCCCACAGTCGACGAGTCTTGGGAGACGGGAACCTTGTACTTCACCTACTCAAAAGCCGCCGACTAGGCCACAGGCTTCTCTTTTACTCATTTCCTACTAGTTCTTTAAATAAAGCTCTGGTTCCTGTTGACTAGCACCAAATCTTGCAATCCCAGCCTGTTGTCATTTGTTCCTCCCGTTTCCCGTCCTCAATCTACCAAATTTGCTTTCTACTCCGCTACTCAGGGCTTGTCGGAATAAACCTGCCACAATGTCGGAGGAAGTAAAAATGTGGGCTCAAGCCGAGCAGACCACCTTTGATCCGCTCATGGGATCTGGCTTCGCGGTCAGGAATCTCAAACTCCCCGCAGACTTTATCTGGGGTGCGGCTACAGCAGCCTACCAGGTCGAAGGGGCTGCTAGCCAAGATGGCATGGGCAAGTCCATCTGGGATACATACTCCCATTCTGTCCCCTCGCGCACCTGTGGCGCGAACGCGGACGTGACGTGCGACCACTACAATCGCATCGATGAAGACGTCAAACTCATGAAGTCTCTTGGCATAGAGACATATCGTTTCTCGATTGCCTGGTCTCGTGTTATACCCCTCGGTGGCCGTGATGATCCGGTTAATGAGGCAGGTATTGCTTTCTATAACCGCCTCATTGATACCCTCCTGGCGCACGGTATCACCCCTTCCGTCACCCTCTACCACTGGGATGTGCCTCAGGCCTTGTATGATCGGTACCGCGCTTTCATTAGCACGACCGAGTTTAGGGCGGATTTCAAGCGATATGCGGGCTTGTGCTTTGCCCGCTTCGGTGACCGCGTGAAATCTTGGGTCACCTTTAACGAACCCTACATCATTTCGATTTTCGGACACCTCAATGGCAGCCTTGCTCCCGGGCACTGCGCAGAGGCTGGAACCGATACTATGATAGAGCCCTGGCGGGTTGGACACACCATCATCCTATCACATGCTTCAGTCGTTCAGATGTACGCCGACGAGTTCCAGCCGTCACAGAATGGAAAGATATCTATAGTTCTTAACGGTCACTTCTACGAGCCTCACGACGCGACCAAGCAGGCAGATATCGATGCTGCCCAGATCCGGCTCGAGTTCTATATAGGCTGGTTTGGTGACCCAATCTTTCTGGGTAGGGATTACCCATCGTCAATGAAAGAGTATCTTGGTACGCGGCTGCCGAGTTTCACATCAGACGACCTGGAGCTCCTGAAGTCCTCCTGCTTGAATAATGCCTTCTATGGTATGAATCACTACTCAAGCAAATTCGCTCGCCAACTCACGGCCCCCGCACCTGACGATGACTGGACGAGAAACATTGAAGAGTCGTCTGTTAATATTAAGGGCGAGGAGATTGGGCCTGCATCAAGCATGCCGTGGTTGCGGGTTGCGCCGGGCGGATTCAGAAAAATGCTTAACTGGGTTTGGGAACGTTATCACCTCCCTATCTTGGTGACAGAGAATGGCTGCCCGTGCCCTGGAGAAACCGACCTCGAGGTTGCAGTGGATGATCAATTCCGCCAGATGTACTTTGGTCTATATCTAGACTCTATTTCTCAGGCCATCTACGAAGACGGTGTCAAAGTTGAGGGCTACTACGCCTGGTCCCTGATGGATAACTTTGGTAAGTATACCCATCTCCCTCCGATGTACCTTTACTGTAAGCATCAGCGCTGATTGATTCGCCTTCTAGAATGGTCCTCTGGCTACGGCCCACGTTATGGAATTGTCCATGTGGATTTCGACACATTGAAAAGAACTCCAAAAGGCTCGGCCTACTACCTTCAAGAAACATTCCAGAAGCGTAGGAAGGACCAGGTGTAAAACCCCCATACCTAGCATTAGATAGTTACAAAATTCGAGCTCAGCATATATTCGCATTATGAGTATCCGTATGAGTATTCTTGACGCAGAGTATCTGACGCTTTAGAATCAAGTTGGGATAATATATCAAGAAGCACTTTGAAGTCGCGGTGGGCCCTTATTCCCAGAGGTGAAGGCTCCTGACTTATAGCGAGCAAGCCCGCGCCGACGAGGCGAATCTTTTCGGCCTAAATTTAGAAGTGAAATGTGAGCCATCTTCCCTGTTATACATGAGTCCGGGGGATGCACGCTCACGCACACAAGGCTCCCCATTGACCTTCAAGGACCAGAACGGTATACTTTGCAACAGGCGAATCATGTCTCCCGCGATCTCTGTTTTTTTTAGTACAAGCATGTCCCGACACTCTCCAGTGCAAGAAAAGTATCCGATCTCCTCGAGTTTCTGGGTAAGATGCATCTTTAAACAGTGGTAGGTTACTTGCAGATCTGCTATCTGGGCCGTAAATCGTTTGCGTGTGGTATCGCCATGGTTGTCAGCAAAGGTTTCGCTATTTGGCAGAAGATGTGGCGGTAGATCGTCGATACAGGTTGCAAATCGAATGTAAAGCTCGCCCAAGGCGATAACATTGGCTGGTGTCAAAGGCCGATCCGGCAGGTTTGGGTCAACAGTCTGCTCCTTTTTGATCAATCTCATTCGCAGCAACAAATCTGCAGCGTACTGCCAAAGTCGTATACTAGCATTAGAGCCTACAGTCAACCTATAGCTAATATCAGTCTAAAGCCCCCCCACCCCCGCTATCTAGGGGCGACGTACTCGTTTTGGTCGTTCAAGGGATACGTCGTTGTTATAACCTCCTCGAAAGAATAGTCACATATTGTTATCGGCATAGACCGAAGCACAGCCAATGACTTGTCCCCTAGATATATCTGCCAGAAGGCATTTCGACGCTTGTTTGCTTCGATCGCGGGGAGTGAAGCATACGAATCTTCATCGTGGAGGTGCATTCGCTGAACTAGTCGAACGGCCTCCCCAAAAACATTCCATGAGACCATCGGCCTCGCGCAGGTGTGTAGGCAGTTGGAGTGGAGGTATCTAATAGTAATGGAGTCGGCACAGGGATTCTCAAAGTCGGCATCGGTAAAGCTAGCAAGGCAACTGCGCGAGGCCTCGAGGAACGTCTCGGCAAGACAGCCCCCAATCGGAAACAGGTCCGAGGGCATAAAGAAACAAACCTTGGCGCATACTGCAGTAATGAGGGTAAATGCGTGATCGGTCAGCGACACCCCAGCCGGCGAAGTACCGACAGCCTGGTTTAGTGAGTGGCGGAAACTAGATTCGTGCACCGACATGTTGGAGTGGACAATGTACCCAAAGAAGAGGTCAGTACACTCTCGGGCCACGGCTTCGAGCGATGTTAAGGACGAGGAAGCATGGTTGATGGCACCGGCGAGAAGTCTGTATCGCTCTAGGGTTGTCGGATGACGAGGATATTGTGAGGGTATTGCGGCTGGAGGTTGGGGAGATGTTTCGGCGGTATGCACGATAGGTGAAACATATGACGAAGATGATAGGGATGTCTCGAGGGGGTCATGATGCTGTCGGCCGGTGTCATCTTGGATACTGACAATATTGCGGCGCCTAGGCCTTCCTTTGGGTCCTCGCCGGCCAGGGAGAATGTCAAAGGTGCAAGCTTGACCGGCTACACTACACCCTGTGCATGAGTAGTCTAGTGAGTCGCACTTGGATGATTCAGCTACATTAGGACGATTCCACTAGTTTCTAATATTGGCAGGCAGTTTTTGCGGGGATGGCTTAACTCACTTTGGCTTTTTTCCGCCGGCAGCGATCACAGGCTCGATGGGGATAGGTCTCTGGGGCCAGGTCATGGGGCGGCATGAATGGCTTTGGGGATACCGCACAGAGTCAATATCTACAGTGGTTTTTGGAATGGAGAAGATAGAGAAATGTTTTCTTCTCTTCCGATTTGGCAGCTGAGAAGGTATTTCTCCGCCTAACGACTAAATTCCCCAGTGCGGGGGTTTCGGAGGTTTCGGAGGCTTCGGGGGTTTCTCAAAGGATACGGTTCCCTGTTACCCCACATTAGTACCCCAGATTATACCCCAGAAATGTAAGGCTCTGTTGGGGACGTTCGTATTCTCGTATTTCCGTATTTTCGTATTCTTTCTCTAGCTTCAAAGCCTTCCTTCACAATCTCTGGCATATTGGAGATCTCGGCCACTTTCGCCCAAGACCAAGTGCGCCTCCATTGAATTAGCTGTAGGTCGGCTAAAATGCCTAGTGGTATCAGCAGATGGGCCGCATGCTCTGATACTTAAACGCCGTGTGTCCCCTTTTCTCGAACTGCTCTTGTGTATCAAGATCTTTGATACAGGCAACATCTGACAATACCTCATGAGAACAGTAACCGATTGAGCACTCATTATGGATCGTCGAGCCGAATCAAAGCAGCTCGCAGAACAGTCCGAGGTCATTCGCCTCATCAAGGCCGATACAGTGCCATGGTATAAAAAGCCCAACCTCCGGTTCCTCTACTTATGCCTCATACCTGCAGCTCTCGGTGTCGAGATGACCACTGGCTATGACGGCTCTGTCCTCAATGGATTGCAGGCAGTCGCTACGTGGCAGACCTGTAAGTCAAGCTCGAAGTTGTCAACCCCAAAGACGCCTGCAGCTAACAACGAACGTGTCAGACTTCAACTCCCCAAAAGGCGCTCTTCTCGGTGTGGTCAACGCATCGTATAACCTAGGAGGTCTCATCACTTTGCCTATTGTTCCGTATGTCAATGACAAGTTTGGCCGCAAGCATAGCATTACTTTTGGCTCTACTATCCTCATCATTGGCGTCACTTTACAGTCTGCATCTCAGAACAGTCAGTCTCCCTTATCAATTTGCGTCTCGTACTATTGGATGGGGCTAATACCGATTCTGTGCGCAGTTGGAATGTTTCTTGCATCTCGGCTCATCCTCGGCGCCGGCATCCCTTTCGCTGTGTCGGGGGCCTCACAGCTCTTGGCCGAGCTGACCTATCCTCGTGAACGAGCCGTCATTACCGGCCTCTTCAACACTTCTTGGTTCATTGGCTCTATCATGGCCGCTTCTGTAACCCTTGGCACACATACGATGGGCAACGACTGGGGTTGGCGCATCCCCTCGATCCTGCAGGCTGCTCCTGCGGCTCTCCAGCTTATCTTCATCTGGTTCGTTCCCGAGTCCCCTAGATGGCTCTTATCCAAGGACCGCAGTGAGGAAGCTTTCGATATTCTCGTCAAGTACCATGGCGAAGGAGACCGCAACTCGGCCCTCGTGAATGCCGAGTTTATCGAGATATCTGCACAGCTCAAGTTGGAAATTGAAAACTCAAAATCACGTTGGGTTGAACTCGTCCAGTCTCCTGGAAATAGAAAGAGGACGCTCATTGCTATCTGCGTTGGCATCTTTACCCAGTGGTCCGGCAATGGCCTCGTGTCGTGAGTCTACTACCCTATACTCTTCACCGCAGAGTCAGATACACCATATACGAGCATCACTGACATCCATTCTTTTTAGCTACTATCTTGCCAAGGTCCTGGCAACGGTTGGTGTTACGGATAAGAAGACGCAGAATGTTATCAACCTGTCTCTCTCTGTAAGCTTACCCCCCAAATGGGGTGTCTCCTTGACACAATGTATTGCAACTAATCCATTTCCCCCAAAAAGTGCTGGATGTGGATCTGCGCCACTGGAAGCGCCTTTTTGACCTCTTTCCTGCCTCGCCGTATCCAATATTTGACCGCTTTTGTCGGTATGACTATCGTCTTCTCTCTTTGGACTGGTGTCAGCGCCGGCTATGCCCAACACGGGACGCACTCTGAAGCTATAGCCGTTGTTGCCCTGATTTTCCTCTACAACGCAATGTACAGCGTTATGCAGCCATTGACCTACACCTACGTCACCGAAATATTCCCCTTTGTGCACCGTGCCAAAGGAATTGCTATCTTGCAGATCTTTACACGTGGAAGCACTGCGTTCAATTCCTTCGTGAATCCTATTGGTATGGATGATCTTGGATGGAAATTTTACCTGGTCTATGTGGTAAGTATATCTAGCATTTGTGTCCTTGAGAAGCGCACAATTTGACTCATGGCAGGTCTGGCTGGTTGTCGAGACGACAATCATCTTCTTCCTATATCCCGAGACTAAGGGGCCAACTCTTGAAGAGATTTCACAAAGTAAGAACCCTTCCCAATATTCAATTGATATACCACACAGCTCGCTAACTTTCTTAAAGTCTTTGATGGGCCCAAGCTAGGCGGAGACGAAAAGATCGGAGATGATGAAAAACAGGAAGTTAGCCATATTGATATAAAGGCAGAGATAAAGGCTGGGTAGCAATTCTCTCGGCCTAAAAATAGGTAGAGGACTATCTTGATCATCTTCTCAGTCTCTTCTCGGTATAGGCTTGGCCAAAATCAGAAACCATGTTTGGCGGTAGCTACCTCTCTATCTCTTTTCAAATATTTACTCGAACTAGTATGCCTGTGGTATGAAGATTCGGTTATTCCCCTGCATTGTATAGAGTTAGAGTATAAATTTGTAGAGTTTACGACTGATAGACTATTAGAATGATAGACTGATAGATTTACTAATTTGCCCATGATTCTAGAAAGTAATTAAGCGCCTACGAAATCAAGTACAATTCTTCCACATATATATTCCCCCTTGGTAGTCATGACCACCACCCGACGAGAGAAGTATCGTGAGTCCCCGAACATCTCAAACCCCCAGATCTGTACCCCGAGTAGTCAGTTTTTAGTATGAAATTTGGACCAGCAATGCACAATGAACAATAAATCGAAATACCCACCTGCTCCGCCGTCCATCCAGACTTAACATTCCTCTCAAATGTATGTACCCAAAGCCCAGGCCCCATTTCCGACATCCTAGTCCGATCTTCAACTATAAAACCTGCCGATTTACTTCCATCTGCCTCGATCTCACCTCGCATGTATCTCGTAATTTTCACATTGGCATTGCCCGTCTGGAGCTCAAATTCAGGTCTTATAATCCCATCTGCATCAATGACGCCATGAACAAATTCACTCTGTGCCTGGACTTTGCCGAAGAAATAGTCCTCATGGTCCGATATTTTCCAATCCAGCACGCGCTCCTCTTTGGTTGCGGCCAAGCCTGCTGAGGCTGTTTGCGTGAAATCGATGTTGGTGAAGGGTTGGCTTGTTTCAGAGGTTTGGGATTGGTATTGGGAGATTTGGAGGTATATTGTTGCGAATCCGAATGCTTTGCGGATCAACCAGGGTACTTTTTGCTATGGATAGTATGGGATGATTAGCTTGGAATTTGCAGTTGTAGAAATAATGCGGATCTTTCGAACCAGTTTTAGAATAGGGTCTGCTTCACTAGTTAAGTCCTTATTCTGTAGAGAGTAATATGATTAGAATCTAGCATCTTTGAAGGGGAGCATGAAGTGTAATTACAAGGACCCAATGGCCAGTGAGGCATTCAATGGTAATCTCTCGAGGGGCAGCCATAGCATAGGGCTAGTTTTAATACATTCAACAAAAGGTAAGCTGTTGGATATATATGTTGCATCTTGTCCAAAGGCTCGGAGGAATGGGGAACACCTTATTGAATGGGGCAATTACTATGTTTCATTAGAACAGTCATTGTGTTACTAACATCCATGCGGAGCTTAAGCACTTTATATCTTAGACCCCATTCCGTAACTGGAGCTGTCACTTCATATGCCTCCTCTTAGCCTCGAAAATAAGAAAGCAATAACAATGTGGTAGTCTAGAGTTAAACGAAAAGTACATATGTACCTAGGTATAGAGCTCTATAAATTTTGTCAGTCTTTGCCCTCGAGGAGTTGCAGCAGTCGCTCCTTCCCTCACCTCTCTCTCACTTCCTTCTTTCCCGCTCTCTCCTCCCGACACCTCGATCCTCACTTATCCTCCCTCCTGTCAGCTTTTGCCATGGACAGTTGTCTTTCGCGCTTCCACCCTCACAATCCCTATCTCAGATATCTTTAGTAGGGGCGGCTGCCAACACACAAACCAACCATATCAATCAGAAATGTGGATTCGACCGAGGGTTAGAAAGACCCCTCCTTAGGGAGAACGGCGGGATTCAGAAAAAGCCCATGCCTAATCCAAACCTCAACAAGGAATGGTAGAGTTAATTTTGCATCTCCCTTCGTATGAATGATTCAACTAATTCGCTTATACTATATAGAGTCACACCTAGCTCGCCTACCATGGCTCAGTTGAGGATAAGGAAAATCTTTTTGACGCCTATGTGGACAAAATAGTCAGGGAGGCGCCGTCGCTGCAATACAATGCTAAGCAGAGAATAGTCGTTTCTGCACTCAAGATGCCTCCTAAGGGTTCCCCACACAAATCGGGGGTGCCTATCCTCCGCAAGCAAACTTGGTGGATGATAGGACCGAGGCGAGTCGGCCGCGCTTCAGCCTTTGGTCGTGCAGCGCTATGCCGGGACCCACAACGGCAAGAACTGCAAGCACTGGAACAAACCACACAAGCCCTGCGAAACCGTACTGTTTTCGGTGGTGGTTTGTGCTAATACGAACTAGCATCGGTTTGCTCCACGACTGTTTTCAAACAATTCGAAGAGAACGGAGACGACGAGATGCCGTCCTGGGTCAAGCCCTTCCATAGGCTCTAAGACGGGTACGAGGATCCTGTGGACTTCATCGAAGACATCGAAACCTCAGTGGAGAGAGATTATGCACGTGAGACAGCAGCTCTGAGAGAGTCCACCGAACTCGAAAATGAGGAGAGGGTCTTGCGAGAAAAGATGAATCGTGACTGTCGACTCCTGTTCCGACAGAACGTAAGTGGTCGCGCAGAAACCTGGTACAACCGACTGGGGGGTGATGTACGAAAAGACAGGGGAAACTGCGCGAGAGCTGTCTGGAGCGATTTCGTCTCCCAGAAGTAGATCCAGTGGCTACTATCTCTCGCATGGAAGCACAGTACGACGGACTCATTGCCCCATGGCCTAGTCATGGAAGTTGCCGCTAACGAAGGCGGCTTCAGCTTTCTTGGGGAAAGACGTGAAATGCGTGCAGAGATGGCAAAAATAGACGACAAGATCAAGATACTCGAATCTCATCGCCAGAGCCATCTAGATCTCCAGAAAAGGGCCATTGCTACTTGGGCGCGAGATGCGTTTAATAGTACATTAGTACAAAATGATACCTCTTCATAAGAAAGCTTACACCAGAAAGAGTAGATTTCAGTAGAAAGTGACCATTGCTATCTAATACCACTATCGTAGGGAACCCCCACCATGACGCCTTTCGACCCAGATGGCATATGAAGAAGGAAAAGACAAGAACAGCGAAACAGCCCGTCCGAAAACTTGGGAATTAGGGAGGAGCAAAGCAGAAACAGGTCGCACGTCGTCGCATCGTGAATGGTTTCTCGTCCTGGTTGAGAAAGACGGAAGCCCGCAAAAGAGAGGAGAGAGCAGAGGAGATAGTGGAAGTTTTGAGTATGAACACCTGTCCACAGGTCTAGGAAAGGTGGAAAGCTCCTTGGCCTTCTTTGATGGCGACCGAGAGGCGCTTCTTGAGAACATCCAGGTCGCTATAGTCTGGCAACTTGAGGTAGTTGACGCAGGTCATCACACTGGGGAGATAGTCGTCTGGCGTATATGGATGTTCGCTTGGGCGACACACAACGGTGAAGATCGGTGTGAGACTCTTGAAACCTATATATATAGTGTTAATAAGTGAGAATTTATGCGGTGGAAAATTGGATGAACGTACCTCCAATGGGGAGCTTGGGGCTACCAGTGACAAACTGAAGGAAATCCCGGCGTTGCTGGTTATCCAGCTCACTCATAGTCTGCAACAGGTTGCGCACACTCCGACTGTCCATGTTGAACCCGTGGTCGGCCTTGATTGAGTCCATTAAGGTTTCGATAGACCAATCCTCCTCCGCTTGTCCGAAAAGCATGACGAGCTCACTTGGAGTGAAAGCGCAAAGAGAGGAGAAGGGGAAGACTTGCGAGAACCCAGCCCGGAAGGCATCCACCTGACGCTGGACACCGCTGCCCAGGGTCATGTCGATCACCCGTTCGATATAAGTGTCAACATTTTCGATTGTCAACTGCACATCCGCGCCGCCAGGAATCAACGCAATAGCGGGATATCCGGGTAAAGTGAAGTCCAAGCCAAGGTCGTCAACATTGGCACCGTGGACTGTGATATTTTGCACAGCCTCGGATTTGAGGGCTGGCGAAAGCGACCGATCTGCCTCAATAGCGTTTTTGGCATTGACAAATTCCTTGAGCATGAGCAAGGACTTCGCGAGGTCATGATCAACCAGCTTTACAGTGCCTAGAGATGGTGCCACTGAGGACAGAGTATCCGCGATACGGAAGAACGCGGGGTTGAATGAAATGTCGATAATCCGGGAGTCAAGCATTGAGCGGGCCACGAACTTTCCTAGCACCTTGAAGATGTTCAATTGCTTCTTGCCAATATCCTGGGCTGCTTGTTCATCACTCATAGGCGCCGGGAACAGGCCGCGCTTGCCAAATGCGTATTCTGCATTAGAGCTCTCATCTGTGTCTCTCCAGATCTTAAGCTTCTTCTTCGAGAACTCTCTGGAAACAGTAGAGTAGAATTCAAGAGTCGGCCCTAATCCAGTACCAACTTCTTCAAAGTATTCAACCTCAAGGATGCTGGGGGAGGACCCATAGAGTTCCATAACCTTCAAGGCAGAATCAAGGATGCGAGAACGAGAGATGCGCACTTTTTGGCGTTGCAGCCGCCCAAGGAATGGGCGATCATCGCGGCGCAGGTCTCGTCGGCTGTCCTCGCCACTTTGAGAATTTTGCCATCTCATCATCGCCCGTGAGTATCCAAATGCAGTAGACTGTAGGAATAGATGCCTTGTCTCGAATGGGAACAAGAAGGAGAAAAGCCTGGCTAGGTCTTCGCTCCAACTTGGAAGGCAATCGCTTGCCACAATCAATGGCTCCTCGAGTTGGCGATTGATCTTGGCGGTGAGCTTTGTGTTGATGAATTGGGCCAAGGGCTCCGAGGTGATGGTGGCAGTGTCTTTGTTATCGGTCAAGATGTCATCAATCGTTGCGTTCATTTCGTGCAAAACACGGAGCAGGCGAATAATCGACGAAGTGGTGGGGTTTTTGTCGAGTGAGGCTGGGATCTCAAGGGTATCACCCTCAGGAGAAGCCTGAATAGTTGATGTGAGGGTTGAGGGCTCTGGCGGCGGGGGGCCAGGAACGCGTTTAAACGTGATGGTGTGAACTGCTGACCAGACGTTCTTGGCACTGCTCTCATCCAAGTCCTCACGGTCGTGATGAACACCACGGTAGATAGT